TCCTCTAGTGGGGTTTGGGCACTGGCCTTTCTCTAGAGACCCCAGGACCTTTGGATGTGCTTCTAAGGGTGAGAAACACTGAGCTACTCTTTTTTTTTTTTTAAACCTCCTCAGGAACCCTGCATTGCCATTTAAGTGGATTATAATTCTAACAGTTATTTGTGTGATTGTTCGACAAATGACTGAAAGTGCTGTAAAGACAATGGCCACATGTGATTTTACCCGTGGCTGGAATGCAGAAGCTATTCCTTAAGGGAAACAGAACAGAAAAGGTAGAGAGTGGAGGGACAGTGTGCCCAGGAGACAGAGAGAGAGGGGGAGAGAGAGAGAGAGAGGGAGAGAGGCATTAGCAGCATGGTAGTAGATGGTTAACAAGCAGTGATGGGCAGAGGGAGGAGGATTCTAACTTGTAGCCGTCACTCACTTCTGGGATGTAAATACTCCCACCATGGCTGATTTCCGGCTTGCCATGTGATATCCTCAGATGCAGAATTAGGAAGAGGTGTAGACAGTGGGCCCTCACAAGCCAGTATACACCTGTGGAAGGAATCGTTTCTCCCCACAGTTATTCCTATTCGGGACAGCTACCTGAAGACCTCCCCATTGCTTTCCAGGAAGAGACCCTGATCTTGATGATGGTCACCCACTACATGGAGGGTCTAAATCAGATGTTTGAAGTACAGTGACTCATCTGATGCCCCCAAGAGCCCACCAGACATCGTACAGATGAGGAAATGGAGTCTCAGAGAGACTGACTACGTTGCTCAGGGTCACACAGCTCATTCCATGGCCAGGCTAGCTTTCAAACCCTGATTCTTCTTTTTTTAAATTTTTTAACGTTTATTTATTTTTGAGAGAGAGACGGAGTATGAGAAGGGGAGGGGCAGAGAGAGAGGGAGACACACAATCGGAAGTAGGCTCCAGGCTCTGAGCTGTCAGCACAGAGCCTGACCCGGGGCTTGAACTCACAGACTGCAAGATCATGACCTGAGCTGATGTCAGACACCCAACCAGCTGAGGCCCCCAGGCACCCCAAACTCTGATTCTTTTTACTACCAACCCTGATTCCTTCCACTACCCTCATCCCAGCACAATAACATTTGAAATCAGCTAACAAACACCCTAGGAGCTAGGATTGCTGGGAAACCAGAGAAGGCACACAGGCGTGAGAGTCGGCACATCCCCCACCAGTGTCCTTCAAGTCCCCTTGCTTCTGACCATTGCGAAGCCACTGCTGCTCGTAGAAGAGCCAGCTGTCTGCCCTTCCCTCACACCTCTGCCCTTCTGCTCTGAGCCCTGAGCTACTGAGGAAACTGAAGCCAGAGCGTTTCTAGAACTTGTCGGAGGTGTTTGTAAGAGGTGGAGGTAGGATTTGAATCCAGGCGTCTGGCTCTGGAGCAGGGCTCCTAAGTGTGTGTTCGCAGGCATAAGGGATTGGATGGAGGGCTGTATAAGGCAGAATCTATCCTTTGTTTATGAAAAGCTTAGGATGCTGTTACCTTCTGATGTGCTAGAGGGTCTCCTACGTAATAGGTATTCCGTAGACGGACCCATAGGTGTGCTGACAGAACCGAGGTCAAGGATCGGGTCCTGACGCTCTGGGTGCTTGGGGTTTGCATTCAGAAGGTGTTAAGTCATAAGCGATTGTCGCCGTGGCTCGGAGGCCTTGTCTGGGGGTCGGGGAGGAGTGGGGGAGCCGCCATGTCCATAAATTGGGAAGAGGCATGGTTACTGCCCAGGGTCATGTGAGCATTAAACTGATCACACTGGTCTACCTGCGCTCTTAGTCCTGGGCCCTGGGCCCATCAGGGCACACACCATTACCTATTTGTTCCTTTCAGTGTGTACTCCCCACCCCCACCCTAGGTTGTAACCTTCCTGAGAGCATGGCCCACGTCTAGTATATTCCTCAGTGAAAAGACTTTACCTACCAGCTGCCTGACACAAAGTAAGCCTCCCTTCATTTGGTCGAGTGGCCGAAAATATTGTCGGTACAGGGCCTGGCAGGGTGCAGGGGGGAAGGGCTGGGCTTTTCCCCACTTTCTTCTTCTTTTTTTTTTTTTAAATAGTTTATTGTCAAGTTGGTTTCCATATAACACCCAGTGCTCATCCCCACAAGTGCCCTCCTCCACGCCCATCTCCCCCCTCTCCCCCACACCCATCAGCCCTCAGTTTGTTCTTGGCATTCAGGAGTCTCTCATGGTTTGCCTCCCTCCCTCTCCCCCACTATTTTTCCCCCTTCTTCTCCCCCACGGTCCTCCGTGAAGTTCCTCCTAATCCTCCTATATGTGCAAACATACGGTATTTTCCCACTTTCTTCTAATGCTCCTCGAGTCCCTCCACCTTCTCCCCTGCCCAACCCCAAGCCCTTCAGCCACGGACCCTGCTGCTTGGAGGACACCAGGGAGGAAAGTATGACTCTGCAAAGCTGTTTGACAACAAGCTCCTGTGTGTAGCTCAGTTATATGATGAAATAAGCCCCCTCCCTTGGCAGTTCTCAGATAGGAGGAAGTGGTTTGGACCCAGTGTGCTTATTTCCCTCAGCACAGCCTGGGGAGGTGAGGGGGAGGAAGTCAGTCACTTGGTGTGGCCTAGATGCATATTTATGAAGGGAAGGGAGGGCTGGAGGGATGGATGGGGATGTGCTCACAGGGCCCCCGCTCTGCGTGCTGACGAAAACCAAATGGCCTTGCCTGACATGCTGGAAAGCCTTAATGAGAATTTTAAGCTCTTAGCCTCTGTCGGAGCCGGGGGAAAAAAGTTCTTCCTGAATGTCAAATGAAAACTTTAAAAAAAACAGCAGCATGTATTAATGCAGGAAGCTGATTAGGGTTCACCACAATGAATGCGTACTAAGTCTTTAAAAAGCCCCTTAGAAATAGATTGCCAGTTGTCAAAACTCAAGGGCAGGGAATTTTTTTTTTCCCTCTGTTTTAGGAAAATGATTTCAGTTTGCTGCAATTCAAACCTACCCATGTCTCTTTCAAAACTATTTTTAATGTTTTTATTTATTTCTGAGAGAGAGAGAGACAGCGTGAGCAGGGGAGGGTCAGAGAGAGAGGGAGACACGGAATCTGAAACAGGCTCCAGGCTCCGAGCTAGCTGTCAGCACAGAGCCCAACGCGGGGCTCGAACCCACAGACAGTGAGATCATGACCTGAGCCGAAGTTGGACGCTTAACTGACTGAGCCACCCAGACGCCTCTACCCATATTTGTTTCAGTTATATCCCATGGAGAAACGTGCAGAAATCAGCATTCAGAGAAATCCAGAAATGTCCTGCTTAGCAACTACATAGTTTGATTAATTGTATATACCACTGGCTGTTACCTTCCGCTACGGAGGAACTCCAGAGTAGCCTGGGTTAGGAATGATATTCATGGCCGCTGTGTAATATTTAGCATCTTTACATGGCCTATAGTTTAAACCTCTTACAAACATACAAGGGCTTCTTTTTATGAGGAGGAAAGGACTCGAATGATTTGTTCAGTCACACAGCTCATGGGCGGCCTACCCAGAATGTTGACGCAGGTACCTCTGATTAAATCAGCAACTTTCCATGGAGCTGTCTTCGTGTCCTGAATCTAGATCTGTTTAAAACACAGAAGTCTAAATTGATTTCTGGTCTGTTTCATAGGTTTTCGATATTGTTATCACTATCCTTTCAGAACACATTAAGCACTCTTGAATAGTGTCCTCATAACTAGACAAAATCATGGGCAAAGGATTTCGCCAGAACTTTGACTAGGGCTCACCTCCCCAGTTTTAAAAGGACCACAGCCCACCTTATAGGTTTGCGGCTCAGCATCTCATAGCAAATCACAGAAGGCCGATTTGCAGATGATGGGATATATTTCTCTTAAAATAAGGAACACTGCTTTAGTACACACTTTCGTTCTTCATGCACTTGCTGTAGCCGAGGCTCTCCCCTTCCCCACCTCTGCTCTTGGAGCCCTTAGAGCCTCTCGCCAGCTGTGTGACTTACACAAATTACTCAACCTCTCTGCGCCTTGTTGTCTCATTTGTCACAAGCAAGTAATAATCATAATCTTGCGGGATCATTCTGAGGACCGTAGGAAAGTAACTTTTCGTGCAGTGCCCCTCCCTGGCCACTCAGCATGGCGGACACCATCCCTTCGCCCCCACCTGCATGGCCCCAACGTAGGACATTCTGAGACCAAAGCCCAGGTTATCTTCCTGGTGTCAGGCTCTCTGGATGTGTTGGCACTAAAAGAATGTAGAGTGTGCCCCATTCCTCAGGGGCTTCTAGTGCTCCAAAATCCCTAGTTCTAACGTTCTACGTGGTTAGGTGTCGTATACCTCACGTGTTTGCTTTTCCTTCGTCCCACCCCTGCCCCCATCCGCACTCCACCTACTTGATAGTTATTGCTTATTGTTATTGTTATCATGGGCATCTTCCCAAAGATCCACGCACCCAAACTCTCAGAAGCACTGTTGTGATCGGTCACATACCTGGGCTCCGTGCATCTTTAGATGTCATGGCTTCCCATGGATTGCGCCTATTGAAAACCTACTCTGTGTCTGAAACTGGTCTGGGCACTTTGCGTACGTTAGCTCCTTTCATCTGCCCAATACCTGTTGAACGGGTACCATTATTCCCACGTTACAGGGCAGAAAATGAAGGCCTGGAGAGGTTTAAGGTCGTACGGCTCGGAAGACTGACGCCAAGCATTAGTTGCCCTCAGTAAGATGCCTGCTCTGTGCCAGCCTGGGGTCCCTTTGTTAGAAAATCTCGTCCGGCAGGGGTATCCCCGGCCCAAGATCCCCGGCCCTTCTCACTGTCTGTAATTCTACATCAAATACCCACCAAACAGCGCCGTGTGCTGGGCCCCGTGCTCGGTGTCGGCCTCACATGAGACATTGCCCTGCCTGCTTGCACAGCGCACTCTTCTGTCTCCAGAAAGCCCGTGCCCCCCCAGCTCTGTGTCGGAGGACTCTGAGGAGTCTCCCTGCCCACTCCTGCCTTGTCCCCCAAGATACCTTCAGAAGCTCGACATGGTCTCCCCTGGGAGTAGCTGAGGAGGGACTGCCAAGAGCACCGTCACTGCCTCTCCATCAGCTGCTGCTGCTCCCGGCAGAGCGAGCAGGTGGCCGGGCCTCCGCGGGTGTAGAGAAGTCCAAGCTATCAAGAAGAACAGCGGTTGCTAAACCAGCCACACTTCCTCCGCTAGAAATGAGGAAGGCGCGGGACTTGCAGAAGGTCAGGTTCCTGTTTTCAGTAACCTCTCTGAGCAGGCTTCTCTCTGTAAGGATAGGGAAGACATTGGCATTATTATTGTTATTACTATTATTATTATTATTATATAAGCAGCTTGATTCTCAGTGTCAAGGCCATCCTCAGGCTTTGTGAGGCTGGTGCCTTTTTCTCTAATTAAAAGGCAGAGGAGCCCACTGGGTCCAAGGAGGCTGGGGCTCAGGCCTGCAGCTTCTGTTTTCTCAGTTTCCCAATTATTACTGCTTTTTTCTGTCCTTGCAAATACGCCCTGGAGCAGAGCTTCTGTTCAATCAGCAGAGTTTTGAAATTGTAGCCGCCAGAAAGTAGCTGCCCGCCAGCCTTCCAGCCAGAAGCGATGAGAAAGGGGATGCAGTGTAGTCACCTTCCTTCCAGGTTCTAGATTAAACCTGACTGAGAAAACGTGATGACTGAACGCAGTATGCGATGTGCGGCTGGGTCCTGGATCGAGGGAAAAGACCTTGAAAGAACATTCTCGGGATGGAGGCCGGGGGTGGGGTGGGTATTCACGTAGACACTGCACTGTCGATAATATTGTGTCAATGTTCATTTTCTTGTTTGATAATGAGCTGGTTATGTGAGAAAACGCGCTGGTTCCCAGGAGATACACCCCGCTGTGTTTGGAGGTCAAGTGTCATAATGTCTGCCACTTGCAAGCAGTTTGCCAAGAGACCAAGAAATATAACACGTAAAAGCAGATAAATATAATGAAAGAAGAAAATGAGGGAGGCAGAAAGCAAACGAGGCAAAATGTTAACGTTTGCCGAGTCCGGGAGATGGCCGTGTGTGCCTTATACTATTTCAGCTTTCTGATGGGTTAAAATTAAGTAATGATAACAATGTATAGCTCCCTATTCACAGTATGTGAGTCTTAAGTGGGAAAACTCAGTCATATGGGGGCTGAAGACTCGGTGGCAGGAATGCCGGGCAATTACCTACTAGAGCTGGGAGAGCCATGACCTTATCGGGGCCACCCGCTGAGAGCCCAGGCCCCCCACACTTCACAGAGACTTTCCCAGAATCATATAACTGGTCCCAAAGCGGAGCCAGGCCAGTGTCCAGGGCTGGTGATGAGCCACCCCAACCCAGCCCCCGCCAGGGACAGTCATTTAGAAGTCTCCCTCCATGTAGCTGTCACAGATCTCAAAAACATCAGGGCTCTTTCTAAATGTGAAAGGAACTCTGTACTAGATAGTTGCTTCCTTAGGCAACTTGTGAAAATACCCACTGTCCACTGGGAAGCCCAGGAGAGCACAAAGGAAACGTTGAGAAAGATCTAGAAGGGGAAGAACAAGGCAGGCAGAAACATGCTGGAGCGGAGTTTCTTCCCCCCACAGCCCCAGATTCACACAGAGGAGTAACAGAGGTTTGGACCAATTGTCAGAAGGCATGAGCTTTGTGGCAACTTTAAAAAAACAAAATTACTGAGCATTTCCTGTGAAGGAGACTCTGAGTTCATTCCCTCGTTCAGTCATCTATTCAGTCAGATCGTACTGAGCCTGTCTCAGGCTCTGGAATTCAGGCATGCACGAAACCCAACCGAAGCCTGCCCTCGCAGAGCTTACTTTCTCCAGGGGAGCCATGGGATGAAGACCTAAACGCACCAGCCGTCAGTGCTGGGGACTGCTGCAAGAAAATGGAGCGGCCGCTGTGACCAGGGCCAGTGTCAGTGGTCCGCCACTGGCTGAGACCCACAGGAGGGGACAGAGCCAGCCCAGGGCAAGCCAGGCCCTGAAGCATTAGGAGCTACTGGCGTGGCACAGACTCTGAGGGTTCAGGGCAGCTCCAAGCCTGATAGCAGAGGCAGACGACGTACAGACAGCAGGCGGGGGGGGGTCTCCGTGGAAGGGCGCTGTTCGTGACCAGAAGGAGCTGCTGCGGGAGGAGAGGCTCAGAATCTGGGGCCCCTGGGTCGTGGCCAGGGTTATAGTACCGGCTCTGCCTGTCCCCAGATGGGGTGATGGGGGGCAGGGAGGGTGTGCCCCTAATTTCCCCCCGGCTTCGATGTTTCGTTATCTCCCTTTCCCTCCTGCGGTAACTGCCAGGAAACGAAGACAGTTTGAGAACAAGCGCGCTGCGTGCAAGTGGAGCAGCGGCCCAAGCGGCAGGTGCAGAGTGGGGAGCCCGGGGACAGTGTCAGCGGGAGCAGGGGTGAAGCCAGGCAGCCGTGCACCCGTGTGTGCGTCCAGGCTGGTGACCCCTGTTTCCGCTCTCCCAGCGGGTTCTCAGTCTCGGCGCCACGGATGTTCTGGCCAGACCTGTTCGTTGCTGTGTGTGTGTTAGCAGCGGAGGGGAGGGGCTGCCCTGTGTGCTATCGGACGTCTAGCAGCCTCCTGGCCTCTACTTACCTGATGCCAGTAGCACTGACCCTGCCAGAATGCCCCAGGCATTGTCAGCTGAGCCCTAGGGAACAGAAGCCACAGGGGACAGAGCACAACTGTCCCACAGAGGTACTGCGAGCGTTAAATAAGTCAGCCCGAGCGCCGCTCCCCCATGGATCACAAGGGCTGCTCGGCTGTCTGCAGCCAGTTCTCTCACTTTCTTCTAGACTCAGCCCTGCAGCACATCTCCCATGATCCCTGCTGCACGTATCGGGACAGTGGAATGCCACAAGGCTGTGACATTTCCACCTGCCCTCCTCCGCCATCATACAGGTGACCTGAGAGGTAGAGCAGGTGTGTGTCCCAGTCAGGAGTCCCGGGAGGTGCCCGCAAGGGTGCGCAACGTGTGGGGCTGCATCCGTAAGGAGGGGCTGGTCAGGTAGAAGGAGCAGGGCAGGGGGCACAAGACAGGTACCATGTCGTGGGCCAAGTTCGACAAGGCTGACCCGTCAAGGAGCTCACAGCCAAACACCCTCATCCCTGTTTCTCCAGGCCCAGCACCACACAGTGTGCGTACCGGATGCTTGCGGAATTACTGAGTTCAGCAAACTTCTCGCCATTGCAGACTTCTTAGGCGTAGACCCCGCACTGGGACCACAGCCCGGGAGGGAAGCCTCAGGTGCAGCATGAGTGAGGCTCCGCCCCTCCCTGCGCTCAAGGAATTTAGAAGCCAGTGGAAGAAAGAGACCCACTGGCAAAACCCAGTGGGAGCCAAAGAAAGATGCCAGTAGGGGGAGAGCCCGGAGAGGCGCGGGCTCCTGGGTCCATGTGGGGACCTGGCAAGAAGGCGTGGCAGGACCCGATTGGACCCCCCCCAGCAGCCTGGTTGGTGTTCAAGGTCACTGATGTTCTGAGTCAGCACAAGAAGGAAAGACATAAAAACGCTTGGCAGGAGATGCCCCCACCAAGGACCTCAAGTGTAAGTCCAGGGTCAGCCCCGGCCGAGGGGTGGTATGTCCGGAGGCCACACTTTAGGGCTCAGAGAGACCCTCAGGGCCATCTGTATAGGAAGCACTTGACTTCTGGAGGGGTTTGCCACTGAATTAGCTATTAGGTCCCAGGCCAGTGGCCCCGGGGCAGATTAGCAAGCTGTCGTCATGGGCTGAGGATTGCTCAATTAAGTGTGAGGACGCAGTCACCACCTTACTGAAATGTAATGTCTGAAATGCAATGTCCCCGCCTCACTCCCCCCCTCCCCCCCACGTCAGCAACGAAGCAACGAGCTTCACACGCTTAACAGTGTCAGGAGCCAGGTGTTACGTTCTCCACTTGTGGGCTGGCAACCCCCCGCCCCCAGCCCGTGCAATAAGCCCATTTCTCCGCTTCAGGTTGCAGAGGGCCTCCAGGTTCTAGAAAGTTAAGGCGACTCAGCAACGCGTGGCCGTGGGCGGAGTGCGATGTGAGAGCCCCACGGCTGACAGCTTGGCCCGGCATCATCAGGTTCCTGGTTCTCAAAACTCTCTCTCTTGCTGCATCATGTTGGAAAGGCTGGAAGACGCGAAAGGAAACCTCAGGAACTCAAGCTCCCTCTTGGTGGAGACGGGCAGGTGCAGGCTGGGCCGCTTAGTGGGGAAGTTGCGTGGGCGTATCTCTAACGGAAGGCGCTGTGCTGGGTGCCTGTACAAGGGATTCTTGTATTTAAAAGGGTTAATCCATCTGAACTTCAGGATCCCATGCAAATTAGAAGTTCTCTGAGAGCCAAGTTTATGCCCCTTCCATAGCTGGATAAGTGACTCATGCATTCATTCATTCAGTCAGTCATTCAGTCATTCAACAAATACTTGTTGGGCACCTTCTGTGTGTTAAGCACTGCTCTAGGGGCTGAGCGAGAGATGGGAACAGTTCATGGCATGGAAATCACCTGAGGGAAAGGGGACAGTAAGGGGAACTCTCATCTTGGAAGAGGATTTTGAAATGAGCCCAGAATGACACAAACAGAGACCAGGAGGAAGGGCAGTTGGGGAAAGCCCAGGGCAGGGAGTGTGTGCAGTGTTCAAGGAGAAAGAAGAAGAGAAGGAGTTAACATTGTGGGGATGCCAGGGAAGAGACTTGGCTCTCGTTCGTGGTACCTATTTATTCTTCCTAAGTAGTCTGTATGTCCAGACTTCACCAGAAGAGAACAGGGTTCCTAGGGTTTAACTTGATCTGCATTATCCAGCTGATGAGGGACACCACCCAGGTCCAGCTCAATAGCCTATGGAGGTGATCACACTGACACTATTCTGTCGGCCTCCCAGAGGGGCTTCCCCCCACGCCTCTAGGCCTCCCTCATACTGTTTCAGCCCAGTGTCCTCTTCAACCACCTGCTGAAGGCTCCTGTTTCCCACAGGACCAACTTCGTCCCTGTTCCTGGCATTCAATGCTCCTTGCCATTTGTTCTCTACCCTCCCTCCCATGGCAGCATTCCGTTCAAGGCCTCCACGCCCCCTCCACTGCAAGAACCTGATGTTCCCCTCTTCACTTCAGACAGGCCTCCCACCCCTTCACCATTTACTTTGCCACTGCCCTTCCCCTACC